GATGGTGCTGTACCTACTGGAACGACTAATTGATTTGTTTTTATACAAGGGTCCACACAGTGATGGTGCTGTACCTACTGGTATGACAGTTTTTCTACAAGGATCCAAACAGTGATGGTTCTGTACCTACTGGTATGACAGTTTTTCTACGAGGGTCCACACAATGATGGTGCTGTACCTACTGGTATGACACTGTTTTTCTACAAGGGTCCGCAGAGTGATGGTGCTGTACCTACTGGTATGACAGTTTTTCTACAAGGATCCACACAATGATGGTTCTGTACCTACTGGTATGACAGTTTTTCTACGAGGGTCCACACAATGATGGTGCTGTACCTACTGGTATGACACTGTTTTTCTACAAGGGTCCACAAAGTGATGGTGTTGTACCTACTGGTATGACACAGTTTTTCTACAAGGGTCCACACAGCAATGGTGCTGTACCTACTGGAATGACACAGTTTTTCTACAAGGGTCCACACAGTGATGGTGCTGTACCTACTGGTATGACTAACTGGTTTGTTTTTCTACAAGGGTCCACACAGTGATGGTGCTGTTTATACTGCTATGACAATGTTTTTCCACAGGGGTCCACACAGTGATGGTTCTGTACCTACTGGCGTGACACTTAAGAATTTGTTTTTCTGCAAGGGTCTACACAGTGATAGTTGCTGTACCAAATGGTCTGACAATTTTTCTACAAGGGTCCACACAGTGATGGCGTTGTACCTGCTGATAAGACATTGTTTTTCAAGCTGTGGTACATGCACATGCACTTGCGACTGTAAAAATACAGTTTGCAAAACGTACATGTATCTTTTACTGATTTTAATTTTACTCATTTAATAGCTTATTTTGAAACGGGCATGTATGAATATGACTCACTGTTACCTGTAACTGAATCCTTTTCACAATTTTCATGATTAAAATATGCTTGCTCAATATAAAAAAAGGTTCTCTAACCAATCACATCATCGATGTGGCGTTTCTGGAATCCACTGTTGTCTTTCTGCAAGTTGCAGAAATGCTCTGCCTCAGCAAGAGGTGATATCCTTTTTCTCCTTGAAGACATGCTGTTAAAGAGAGAAAATGTGATTTTATGATAAAGTTGTAATTGTAAAATGAATAAGTTTCAAGAACTCCAATATGCCAGCACATGCGTAAAAGACAAAAAGAACTGTATTTTTACTGCTAGCAGTGGGTTTTGCTGATTCAAACATATTTAATTCCATGTCCATACAATATATGTTTCATCTCAATAAATGTACACATCATGAAATATTAGTTTAATTACGTCTAAAAATGACAAAAAATACACATTAAAATGTCCCAACTAGTAAACGTAAAACAAATTGGGTTACTTGCTACCCTCTGAAATGTCGAGTCTGACATTGCAGCCGTAGTCAGCTGCGACGAAATGCTTATTTAGTTGTGGCTTGTCCTCAACAAGTACATGTGAACGGCATTTCCCTTGGATGCTGATCAAGAAGTATTTTGATATTTTTGAAAATCCACATGGCTTACTCCCATTTTTCTTGGTACAGATATAGCAGGTAGGGTAAACTGGGGTAAAAATGGCCATTTTTAAAGAGAACTAAACAGGTCCGATTCCCACACATTCATTCTACATAACGGCCAACAACAGACTATAGCAGGTAAATTAAAAGAGTTACTGCAGCTCTAGTAGGCCTACTACTACCTCTAGACCTACTGCTTAGTAAGCGTAGAGGTAGACCCGTATATGTGGCATTGCTAAAACAATGCCATGCTTCACTGCACATTAAAAGTGGTGAACAAAAATACATTTATGTTTAATATCCTTTTGTCTGCAGGTTACGTACTTACGTAGAAACGTCTCTGTACTTGTATGTGTGTGCTGGATTGGTATTTTTAAACAAACTTTTGAAGAAATCTGAGAGCCATACAAACATGTACAACTGCAAATTCAACGATAATGTGCACGGTACCCAGGGTCATTTACGTGCAAAATAATGGGAATGGTCGAAAGTACCTGTTGGCTTCGATTTACTGGTTGGTTCCAGTCCGAGCTTGGACATGCAGTTTTTGAATGGTGCCTTCAAGTGACTGGAAACCAGTGAATCCTAAGCCTGAGTGGCCAACAATCACTAGCATGGGAACGAGGTTGGCGAAGCCAGTATAATGAAGCAGAGAGGTACTTTCGACGACTCTCATCATTTTGCACATAGGCCTAAATGACCCTGGGTACTGCGCATGTTATTGTTGAAATTTCTGTTGTACGTATTTGTCCGGGTCTCGGTTTTCTTCAAAGTTTCTTTAAAAATAGGAATCCAAAACATGCATACAAGTACAGAAAGGTTTCTACAAAGTCTAGGTAAGTACTTACCTGCAGGCAAAAGGGTACTATGCGTATTTTTATTTAAAGTATGACATTGTTTCAGCAACGCCACATTTACGGGTCTAGCCTAGAGGTAGAGCTGTCTTCACTCGTGGTCATGTTTGAGACATGATCAACAAAATATTGTTCAATGGAATTATTTCCCAAATGTGCGACTTAAGTGGTACTGGTAGGATAGGGCTAGTTCAAAAGTCCTACTTGTCATGGTAACTCAGCAGCTGAAGTCTGTGTCACATTTCACTGGGAGAGGCCTACGGAAACGCTTCAATGAATTAAAAAAACGTCAAAAAAATCACCCATATAAACAGCACAATTATCGCTATAATTAAACGGCTAATATGTGTCCGAAACATATCAAGACGTTCATTGCAGGCACAATGCGATGGCGATGGCGCCGGCACCATTTTCTCCACTGTCACGTTGTCCCATAGCTACATGTAGGCTATACACATACACGTATGACTACCTCCGCGTAAAAAATATCCCAGTTCATATCATAGTCGTTAATTTAAGAAAATGATAAGAGAAAATATAAAATATAGTACTATCCTGCAAAAAACGCACCTTCTCAGAAGAAATGCTGTTGTTCTAGGCGAGATGTTGAAAACGAGGATTAACCAATGCGTAAACGACCGCGCGAACCAGGATATTGGCCATTGCCTACCACACGAGGGCGCTGTCATTTTTTGACAGAAAACTGTCCAACAAACTGTCACACGAAATAAACGAGCTGTGTATTCAAACACTCAGAATCATGGTAGATCCCGTCAAACATGGACAAGCGTCAGATATGCCTGAAACTAATAGAGCGCCCTCACCTTACAGAGCCAACTCTGAAATTATACGTTGTTACAACCGTGGACGTCCACGCTTCACGAGCGTCCACGATTTGCAGGTGTGTATTCTGATGAAAGTCCACGATTGAAGGCGTTTACACACGCACACACACACACATACACACATACATACATACATGTACAGGTAGGCCTACATACACACACATACATCATTACTTGTAAAACGTGTAACGGGATAAACGTTGCAAACACTTGGTTCGGATGCAACCCCCAGAACTGTGGAGTCCGATGTCCGCCCCACTCCCACGAAGGGGGGGTTAGGGCACTCGGACCCCACAGTACACATCAACATATTATTCAAAATCTTTGCATAAATATATGAATGATTTCTTATTTACATTGTTAATTATGATGTTACATGTCTCCGGGTCGGGGGTTTATATAGATAATAGGATGAGAAGAGCCACTTGTTGTGAAGGCAGTCAGAACACATAAGGATGCCAGTAATTATTCCTTATTAGCCTTCAGAAAGCAAAAACACGTCTAGAAAAGTTAAAGTCAGGAGGGAAAAAAACCAAATCGTTTACTCAGAAAACAATGAAATTTTCTGACCAGTCTCATAGGGTTTGTGCATGGGGTGTCAAGTGACGTCCATACGTGTAGAACACAGTTGATAGTGACGTTAATTTGTCAGGAATAGTGCAACCTTTGAAAAGTTGTTTGTTCAGAAGTATACTTGCTTGGCACAATCTGTTATTTTCAGATACATTTCAGTAAAACCTCTGAAAATGGGCCGAAAGTAGGCCTAACCCTGGTACCTGAACACACAGCCAATTACTAATACAGAAAACCCTAAATAAATTTTTGTATTGATTGCATAGAAATTTCCTGGCATAAAATTCTGAACTGCAAGTCACGTTAGTTGTTTTCAAAGATTTTGCTGTTCCAAATGTAAACTGTTTCTGGTGGGGTAGGCCTATGAAAGTACCATGTAAAAGCTTTCCATTATTTCAAATGCAATATATTTTCTCTCAAAGAAAGCATAAATTTACATTATATGTATATGTACTAAAACATCAAATTTGCAAAAGAATCCATCCCAATTCTACAAATCTGCATAGACCCTATTTACAAAAAATACAAAATGAAACTGGTTTACAAATCAATTAGTCAAATTTCATGAACCATGCTTGATGCACACATTGAATACTTAATAATAAAATGCGGTTCTTGCTTTTTCTTCTACATGTACAAAATGATTTCTTGATTTGGTGTAAAATGAAGTTTTGTTTTCTCCTTTTTGGATTACAATACGGGCGATTCACAATTGTGCGCCTCCAAGAGTTTGCAATGCATTGACCAATCACAATCCTGAACCGAACCTTGGCACCTGCTTGCAGCACTAGAAAAAAAAAATGTAGCACAAACTTATGGAAAAGCCAAAATAGACAAAAAATCTGAAGAAAAACAATAGCTGTTTTGGTTGCAAGCCAAACGGCTAAAATTGGGAACATCGACGAGAATATAATATCAAATCAGTGCTCTGAAATGTGTGATTGCAATCACATGTATTTCAGAGCACTGATTTGATATTATATTCTTGTCGATATTCTGATCATGGTGCTACGTAGCCCTTCCATATTTCTTTAAAAATGGGAACATATCCTTAGGGGGGCCAATTTCCCCCTCTCCCAGGATACCCCATTGCAGCTTATAGAAAACAATCGGTAGTGGTAGTACATGTGTATAAACAGAATGAAGTTCTATTCATCATATCCAGCAGATCTTGATGACCAGTACGAAGATACATTATCTGTGCTGGGTTCTTTCTTGCAGTCTGAAAGCCCAGTGCTGTTTTTCAGTACTCGACTTTGTGTCCGTTCAGGCTTTGTCTGTTTGTTACTGCCTTGCTGTAAAGTCATCGGCTCAATCAGAAGTCTAATAAGGAACATCAAATACTTGTATGATACGAAGGAGCAAAATATTGCATTGCAACATCTCATATTGACGGGTTAATTAATCTGTCATTTTATGTATTCCTTCTAGGTTGAAGTACATTTTCCATTCAAGAAGAGAGGCCTAATGTCACCCAGCCATGAGGATCCAGCTGACAACAAAAGACAGAGAAAAAGAACAGGTTGCAATGTGCTCTTTGTTCATGTTGTTTGTTTTGAATTGTTTTGCCATATATTTTCTTAGAGTTTGTGATGTTATCTATTTCAAAATATGGAGGGTCTAACGTTTCAATCCTAGCAGAATCTTCCTCAAAGGCAAAATGACAAATGGACAGGACAAACAAGCAACCAGAGAATCAACCAAGCATGGATGAATGCAAGAGGACAAAAGGAAAGGTCAAGAAACACTGCGTTTACACTTGATGTGGCGAGGAGGATCAGATCCGGTGCGGGGGATCAGATCCGGATCAGAAACGTGTGAAACGCAACGCAGGATCAAATTCTGATCCCGGGATCTGATCCTCCTCTCGAGAAGGATCAGATCTGGTTCAGATCCTGCGCACGGGATCAATTTGCAAATGTAGACGCAATGCTGGATCAGATCCAGATCAGATCCAGGAATTTGAATTAACTACATCCGGTGCAAGTCTTGAAGCGAGCTAAAAACAAGTCTGTGTCATCGTGAAGACCTACATGTCATTTATACTTACATGACATTGTACATGCACCATACATAAGCTGTTGGTTCGGCCGCTACGTACATAACCAGCATCACGCTGGTTCCCAATTAAGCCCTGTGCTTTAGTCCTGTGAGTTGGTAATAAACTGGTACTTGCCCATTCCCATGCTTTATCTGTGTTGTCTTTAGTGACTTTTGTTACCGCTGCATATCGCTGATCCAAAACCTTCCATTTCCCCATTTATCTTATGTAAGATAAGACAATGAGACGTATATACAACGCGTAAGTTCACGTAATACTGGCTGATGTTTTGCTCCAGTGCGCGTAATCAGTGAACTGTTCACATAACCTTTGCCCTAAGGTTGCAGCGCTTTATCAATGTCAGGCGGGATCAGGATCCAGTGTAAACGCAAAAGCTGCAGGCTGGATAAAGGGGCAAAGGATAAAGGGGACTGCATGAAAGGCATGGTTGAACAACAAAGGAATGTAAGGTGGGAAGAGATCAAAGAAAACTACAGTGGATGGAACTTGACTCTAAGTGGGAGGAGGGTATAATCTGCAGATAAAAGAGAGGGAAAGAAAAGAGGGTTAATTAGTAGTTTCCCTCTTGGATGTTCAGGGCATGGGGTTGTATGGTGCTGAGGCATTTGATCCAAAGCTTTTCCTTGTTGAAGCGAACAGCATCTTTACGAAACCCAAGTGATTCTATGCCCTGTTAGATCATGTCAGATTTGGAATGGTTAGGAAGGTTTAAGTGGTGGCCCACAGTTGTATCTACATGTAGTTGTTTGGTGTTGACCATAGATCTGCGGTCATAGAAACGCTTCTTGAGAGTGTTCTTTGTCTCTCCAACATACCGAACACTGCACACCCTGTAAAAGATAAGAAATATGACATTAGTTTATTAAGACCATTAGTGGAAGCAAGTAGCTCAGAATAAAGGTTTTCTTGATGAACAATAGATGGATGGGCTAAAATTCTGCCTGATACTGGGGGCATGTCCCCTCAAAGTTTCAATTACACCACACACTGGGTGCACATGGGCCGGTATATGTATGTATCTGAACACATGAGATGTTGCTACATGTAGGCATAATTTATATCTTGGCGATCATAACTATTAGTGAATGCTTTTGGGTACATTGTTATTAATTTTTTTGTGCTTGCAATTCTGAGGCCCAGTACCGGTAACTAACAATATCATTGCGACAGCGCTGTTTCAGTTTCTGCTCTTCCCTCCCATGTTTTTATCATTCTGATTTTACATTTTTGATCTGTCGTCATCCGATGATGACCTACATCTGCTGTACTTTTTAATGTATATTTCTTGGTCTTGTTATCGTCAATGTAATTTTACTGACTTTTGATGGATTTTTATTGATCTGTGGCCTGGCAGTCGTCTCACATTTTGAGATCTGTACAGCTATAGCACTTGATCATCTTTTCCCAACGCTATGGAACATGGGAGGATTTCTTTAATTTGTTTAACCACTCCATGCCGGGATGCCTGGTTTGGGGCACATAGAGCTGGGCCTTATAACAAAAGACCATACTTGGAACAAAAGACCGAGCTGCTGGGAATTGCTAACATGTTTTCAGTTGTCAATATCAGAGGAAATCCATCATTGTTTTGGAAGATTATACCATTGTTTGTGGCATTCAAGGCGAGCGGATTACCATCCCTCCAGTGTTGAGCGATACAATACTGCTACATGCAAATCTGGCTCGTATTGAAAAGATGCCAGCCGCAAGCATGCACTGTGCGTGTTTCGGGATCAAAAGAAATTTATGTAACACTGCACAGTCTGGGCTCTCTTTACAAGGTGGCAGGCCTGGCTGAAATACTTGGGCATCAATGGATGTTGTCTGTTAGATTAAAGTAGCTACCAGATAGTTATTTGTGTGGGTGTAAACATTCAGTAAATGAAGATATGGTATTTTGAAGAATTTTGAAAATGGAAGAATTGGAAAATCCCCCATTTGTTGTTGGTGTAGTAGTAGAATGGCACATATGGTGCATGTGATGTGCCCTTTGTGCCACGAACGTCAAATTATGCATCAACCAGTCTGAATCAGGGTCGAATGTATTACATGTATGTGAATGAAAATCAGTGTGACTCCAGGGCTATTACTCTACTGTGCAGGGTGACCGAGAATTCAAGGAATCGATATTAGATCATATCAAGGAAAAAAGATGGAAAAATTTTGACATTTCAGGAGAAAATGTTCCACATCATCAGTGCATTTGCAGACATCACAAAGACTTTTAGAGAGTGCTGAATTTTAGGCTACTTTGCTCCAGAAAATAGTGCCTAGCAGCGTGGTCTTTTGTTCGGAGTATGGTCTTTTGTTACAGGGCCCTGTTTCCTTTGTTCGAGTTCGGAGACCCCGCCACCCATATAAACCATACGGCTCCGATCCTGGAGTCCCCGGCAGTAAGTGGTTAAACAGTCCAATATTGTACGGGGACCAGGGGACTCGGTTCAGTTCCAAATACTTGTGGCAGTTGCGGGCTTAGCAGTTGTTTCCTTTAGGCAGGATAGCAATTCGCACATATTTCTGTTTAATTTGGACCAATCGACATGAATATCGACGTTATCTTTACCCGTTTTCTGGATTTGATTGACACACGAGAATGTCAGTAAAAGGTTCGTCGCTGAAAGAAACGTGCCATACCCTTGGTCTGCCTTGGTGAAACAGTAACCTATGGTTGTGGGCAGCAGTTTGTACGTATTGCACTGCCTGGGTAAGTGTTTTGGGATCCCTGAAAAGAGTTAGTTCGGCGGCTTCAATATTATTGCAACCCCTGAGGAGTGCGTCTCTTGTGAATGTTTCAAATACAACCGCATTTGCTGTGGGATATGCGTGAATTGTCAGCTGTCTGACTCGCTGCTCAAATTCTTCTAACGTTTTCATCTTCATTTTGTCGAACAGAAGTTAGCTCAGCCCTACTTATGGGATCTTTAGTCTTCCCTTCCCTAAAAAGAACCTTTTTAAGCAGTTGTTCTTTGCTTAATTGAAAACTGCGTCTTATTCTAGCTTCTTGCCACGCGTAACTTTCAAGAGCCTTACCCGTGAGTGCCCCTACTAATTGAACAAGTTTAGTGTTTTCATCCCAGTTGCATAATTCTGCCATCAATTCAAATTTAGCTACAAAAAGCATGGAAATCAGTGGACCCATCAAATGGCATTAACTTCGGTATGTTCTTCACTGATGTTTGTGTCCCATTGTTAGAGCTGGATGAAGTTACTCCACCCATAGTCTGTGTTTATGATTGTGTCACATGAGGCACACTGGTCAGGATTAGAAAAGAGGCATGTGAGGTAGCCATTGTCTGAGATGTGGGGTTTTCAGTTGGCTTTTGTTCTGCGCTGGGCACGGTTGCTTGGCCGGGCACAGCAGGAATTCCAAAAGGCAAGATGGGCTTTTGATCAGTTTTGATTAGCACAGACATGTTTTTGCTTTGTTCTTTTCCAGCCTGCGCTTTCTTTTCTCCATTCAAATGTGCTGCAATTTGGATGTGTGCAGGCAAAGGTGGGGCCTATTGTCCAGTGGCTTTCAGGGTAGCATCTATTGTTGGGTCCCCAGTAGTAATTGGAATGTCTTTTGATGCTCCGTTTGCTGAAGGTTGTTTGTCCTAGCCCTGCTTTTGAATTTTGAATTCGAGATTTGAGATTTTGACTGCATTTTCTTGCATGATAATGGAATTTGCTCCCATGGCTTTCATTATCATTTCTACTTGTTTCGTGAGCATAGTGACATAGTGAGTTGGATAAATGCACAATATCTGCATGGGAACTGTGGTCAGCTGAAGTCTTTTCCACATACTAAATGCCTGTAAGTTCGTTCTAGCTCGTTTAGTTTTGTTTGTTAGGTGGGGTTGTCGTAGAAACTATCAATCGTTACCAACCCAAGTTCTTCTCTTTTAGAAACTATAGTTTGAGCAAACTTGGTCCCTATCCCTGGTAAAGTACATGTAGTTAGCTCTTTGACAGATGCCTTATTGATATTCATCGTCTTAGAGAAATGTAGTTTACCAAATATACAACCTCCTCCTCCTCCTCCTCCTCCTCTTGTAGTTTGAGTTATCATTTCTTCCCTTTAGCTACATCTCAGCTACATCTACAGTAACAACAGCAATTTTTCAGCTGTATGTTCAGTATGTCACCAAGAGATGTGGAAAAATATGGGAAGTGTTTCAAATCAATTATAATTATTTTTTATCAAATAAATTGTCCTTTAAGTGTAATTATTTTCAGGTCATAAACAGGACCAGGGCTTGTACCCCCCATGTGTCACAATGTGTATTTATTCTGCTTCATTACTATTGTACTTACATGTAGTTGTGACATATGGAAATAAACTCCAAACTCTGAAAGCAACCATAGTTTTTGATCAGTACAAAAATAACCCAACTACAAAAGATGCCACACATCTTAGGTAAACAGAGGCGGCCCAGGCTTGACAGTGAACTTCATGGGAGAAATGGATATCAAAATCA